ATATATAAACTCAGGTACAGAAACAAACCATTCACAACATGACCCTGCACGGACCAGGTACGTACAGGTGCTTTCAGTGTACATCCCTGGGAATTACAACTTATCTACCCAAGTACACTAAGTAGTAAGTTACACAAGTATAATTACAGTGTACTTATACCTCAGATAAATAGTGTTAACTTATTATTTTTATATATGAATGTTTCTGTCCAGTGCCCTGAGACGACTTCTGTTATGACTTGGCGCTTTAAGCTGAACTGAGTTTTATAAGACTGAGCTGAATACAGCACCTCAGACTGAAGAAGTCATTCGGATGAAAGACGAAACGGTTCTACTTTTTTTGTTTTGTTTTTGGAATGTCCAGAGGACCAGACTTAACTTTTTTTTAGAATTGAGTTGAATTTATCTGCCACTAAGAGGGTACAAACTTGGTACATACCTTGTACTTCATTGTGACATACCTGATACATACTGGTACCTGCAAGGTATATATCTGGTATTTACTGAGTACTTATCTACTTGATGCTTACTGGAAACGCACCAAAGGGATCGACCTGTATTTTGAAGTGTATGTTTATGCTATATGTACTTAGTATTTAACAAGTACTTATTTAACAAGTACATAGTGTTTAACAAGTACTTAGTATTTTAACAAGTACTTAGTATTTATCAAGTACTTAGTATTTTAACAATTACTTAGTATTTAACAATTACTTTAAGAAGTACTTAGTATTGAACAAGTACTTAGAGTTTTAACAAGTACTTAGTGTTTTAATAACTAGTTAGTATTATTACAAGTTCTTGGTACTTAACAAGTACTTAGTAGTTAACAAGTTCTTAGTATTTAACAAGTACTTAATATTTAACAAGTACTTAGTATTTTAAGAAGTATTTAGTATTTTAACAATTACTTAATATTTTCACAACTACTAAGTATTTAACAAGTACTTAGTGTTTTAAGAAGTACTTAGTATTTTAACAAGTACTTAGTATTTAACAAGTACTTAGTGTTTTAACAAGTACTTAATATTTTAACAATTACTTATTATTTTAACAAGTACTAAGTATTTAACAAGTACTTAGTGTTTTAACAAGTACTTAGTATTTAACAAGTATTTAATGTTTTAACAAGTACTTAGTGTTTTAACAAGTACTTAGTATTTTAACAAGTACTTAGTATTTTAACAAGTACTTTGTGTTTTATTAACTAGTTAGTATTATTACAAGTTCTTAGTATTTAACAAGTACTTAGTATTTAACAAGTTCTTAGTATTTAACAAGTACTTAATATTTAACAAGTACTTAGTATTTTAACAAGTACTTAATATTTTAACAAGTACTTATTATTTTAACAAATACTAAGTATTTAACAAGTACTTAGTGTTTTAACAAGTACTTAGTATTTTAACAAGTACTTAGTGTTTTAACATGTACTTAGTGTTTTAACAAGTACTTAGTGTTTAACAAGTTCTTAGTATTTTAACAAGTACTTAATATTTTAACAAGTACTTATTATTTTAACAAGTACTAAGTATTTAACAAGTACTTAGTATTTTAACAAGTACTTAGTATTTAAAAAGTACTTAGTGTTTTAACAAGTACTTAGTGTTTTAACAAGTACTTAGTATTTTAACAAGTACTTAGTATTTAACAAGTACTTAGTGTTTTAACAAGTGCTTAGTATTTTAACAACTTGAGGCTGCTGCTGTTTCCTGTTGGTTCGAACAGTCCACACCAGTAAGTGAAAGCCGGGCCATCATCGTGACCACCCCCACCATCGTTTACCCACAGCAGGCTGTCATTGTCCAACAAGAGGTCCGCCCTCTTGAGCAAAACAGGTAACCTCAGTTTCTGAAATCTGTATATTTGTCACTTTTTCACTAACGACAACCAGAGACAGATCCTTTAAGTCCTTCCTGCTTCCTCTCTCAGGCCGCACAGTCCCAGAGCTCGCCAGGCCAGAGACTCCACCGGAGGACCCATCACCACAGTCGGTGGGTAAACGCACAAAAACACACAAACCGAGAAGCTGCAGCTGTTGTCCAAAAATAAACACCATGAGAAATGTTGTTTGTTTGAGCCTAAATTCAGGTCATCAGTTTCAATCTGGAGAGTTTTTCCATTGGGCAGTCACGTTCAGCTTCTGTAACACTGTCAAAATAAAAGAAGCTGAATAAACTCTAACTGCACAGCACTAAGTTGGGTCATCTCCATCCTGACTGATAGACCAGTTGGAGTGCACGGTTCATACCTGCACAGCTTCTGATGCTTTCATCACGCTAATCTTTTGTCTCCTCATTGCTTTGTATTCAGCTAAAATAAAGGAGCTTAACAGAAATAAACTTGAAGTGTAAGCAGGGCCGTGCGATCCTCCCTCAGACAGCACCGGGAACGTGATCGACCTGGTGAAAGATCAGCTGCCGGAGCTTCAGCTCTCTGAAGAAGATCGACAGAAGAACCTGGAGCTGCTGGATCAGGCCAAGAAGGTCAGCGACCGCTTTCTCACCCGCCGAGGACGCCGATCCACCAGCAGCCTCACCGACTCACCCACAGGTGCTTCAAGCTCACCCTCACACATGCACATGCACAAACGGTTTAATTTTTTTACGTGATTTATCCAGCTGTGTTTGCTTTAACTTCTCAGATTGTATCTTTGGTTAGTCCATGTAGAGATTTTTACTTTGGGTACTCTGAGCACGACTCATTATATTTATCATTTCTGAACATAAAATGATCTTAATCTGAAAACATGACATGAAAGGTAGAAGACTTTGAGCACTTCTTCAAGGAATGATAAACCTGTAATTTTATTCACAATTTATTTTTCCCTCTCTACAGGTCTTTCTCCAACCCCAACACCATCGTCCTCCCCGTGTTCGTCAAGAAGCAGCTCGTTGATCGGGGCCCCTCAAACTGGTCTGCGCTTCAAACGAACTGAACTGTCTCTTTTGCATAAAACTAATCACAACCTTTTATTTAGCTTGCACGTGTTTCTGACGTAAAACCAACACATTTTCACACTGGTTCTTGTTTGAACACTGGTTCTTTTACGATCTGACTGGCTTCATGGGAACAAATGTTTAAGATCCAACAGGACAAAAACAAAAAGAGGACCAACAGAAGCAAACTGTCATTTCTCCTCTTTCACCCGCAGGAACCTCAGAAACACTCCACGTCAGCTTGCAGTCGCTCACTCAGGTAAATCACAAAAGCTTGTCGGTTATTCACAACGAGACCAACGTGGTTTAAAAGTTTTGCAGTGTTTGTTGATTTTCAACATTTAAGATGTGAAGCAGTCGTTGTTTAAAGTATTTCAGTGATGTGAGAGATGTAAAGAAGTCTGTCTATGTCCATAACCATGTGAAAACTGTGATGTTTGTTGTAGCATCTGGAGGTGCCGTCGGTGAAGAAGCAGCTTGATTTATCAAACCAGGAGCTGGAGGTCAGACAAACTGCATGTTCTCTTACCAACACATAACTACAAGCTGATAACTGGTGGCAGAAGTTTTCCTTTCACTCTCAAACCAGTGTGAGCACACTTCCAACTGAAACTACCTCACAATCTAAACCTCTGTTCTGTAGAGAACTCGATTTGCAGGAATTTCACTGATAAGATCAAGAACCATTGATTTTCCAGACACGCACCCTTCCTGATTTCAGATTCTTCCATAAGAAGCTGTGCACAGTGAACTCTTTCTCATATTAGCTCAATTAAATGGATGAACTCAAAAACTTTCAGTCAGGTCATCTGGACAGTTTCTTGTTTTGCTGAAACGTTTCACCTTCCATCCAGAAGGCTTCATCAGTCAAGGAAACACACAGCACAAAACTGATTCTTCCCCCAAAGAGCTTTCTCCAAAGTGGAACAAACCAGTTATGCTGGTGCTAAGATGGTGTCTTTGGCACGCCCCCTCCTCTGTTGCTGGCCCTCTCCCTCATCGACAGTCATGTCAAACTGGTTCAAAACCAAAAAAGTCCATGCTCAATAATCCAGGTATACAATCCAACAATTTTCATGAGCATGGACTTTTTTGGTTTTAACCAGTTTGACATGACTGTCGATGAGGAAGAGGGCCGGCAACAGAGGACGGGGCGTGCCAAAGACACCATCTTAGCACCAACATAACTGGTTTGTTCCACTTTGGAGTAAGCTGTTTGGGGGAAGAATCAGTTTTGTGTTGTGTGTTTCCTTGACTGATGAAGCCTTCTGGATGGAAGTGAAACGTTTCAGCACAAAAAGAAACTGTCCAGATGACCTGACTGAAAATTGTTGGATTGTATACCTGGATTATTGAGCATGGACTTTTTTGGTTAATGGATGAACATTTGTTTGATTCTAAAAATAGCACAACTTAATAATACACACAAACTTGAACAACGCAGCATCAGAATCTTTATCATTGTACTGAAATACAGTGAGATTATGTTCGTACAGTCGTCCGGAAGATGGGCGGCGTGCACGTTGCTGCTGCTCCTAAGAGCGCGGCCTCATCTTTTTTAGATAGAAAAGGGGGAAAAGCCATGATGAGAGGATAGTGTTATTACAAAGATCTCTTCACACCATGTCCTTATCAGGACACAATTTAAGACTTCAAAACTCTGCCAGCAGCACATTTATAGACACATTACATGCATTTGATGACAAGACGGTGAGATTTGTCCATGAAGCACTTCCAGATAGCACCATAGTCCTGTTAAGATGTTGGTGTCAGTCGGTACAGCTCTGATAAGTGTTCACAAAAGTTTTTGGGGGTGGGGGTTTACGATAGACAGAGCCTTCGCAGTTTACACATATCCCAGAAGAAATTTGATGATGGCCTGCTTCCAGGTCAAACAGGGGAGTCAGATTCAGATAAGCCACAGTTGTTGATTTTTTTTTTTTTTCAGGCAAACTGTTATTTTTTGTCAGCCTTGAGTTCTGCGGGTACTTTCTATCCAAAATGGCTGGGTTTGTGGGCATTCCACTAGTCCATGCTTCTTAACTCCCTCCAAGGTTATCTCCAACATGCTGGCGAGTCCCAGAAGCCGCAAGTGGTCTGTGAGTCTCACAAATCGCTTCCAACTTACGGTTTAGCTCGTAAATCAGCTGATTTTGAGTGCTCGAAGCACGAACCAAACCTTCCCACAGGGTCGGCAGCTTTGCCATGGCCGAAACTACTGCCGCCGTCTTCTTTAATAGCTGATAAGATAGGTACCCGCCGGTGCCAAAAAGCATAAACCCTGTTATCATAAGTCCAATATCTTCAGCGTCCTCCTGAGACAACAAGGAAAGGCACATCAGATCCATGACGTATCCTGCTGCGTGTGTCTCAGTGGGGCATGAGGGTTCTCCAAGACCCTGTCGCTTTGCTGAAAAGATTTTATCGATTGCATTGAAAGTCCAGCTGACCAGATCCATGACAGTAGTTTACGTTTCAGAAGATGTGTAAATAGAAGCTCCAATACACAAGACAGAGAACGAAAAAGCAGGAGGAGGACGGGAGAGGAAAGAAAGGCGTCCGTCTTGCACGAGAGCAAGGAAGGACAAAATGCTTGATTCTTGTTGTTTGGTAAAATTCTGCTAGTGGTTGTTAACTTTTTTGCTCCACTACTTTTCCATTTCAGTGATCTGTGGCCAAATTATTTTTTTATCAAAAGACAAGAACAATGCTAAGAAAACACGAGTTGTTTTTTGTTTTATAATTTTAACATCCAGTGGTCAACAATCAAGCATTTTAAGATTTGACTTTCCTAACAGATGTTCATTAAATGCATTATTAGCATGTGGTGCTCAAAGCGTATCCACCATCATTTTATAAATAAACGGTTGCTGTTCTTTCTTTCTTTTCTCAAAACGAGAGAAGTAAGCGAATCCATCAGTGGTGTTTTGAAACAGGAAGTTAGAGTGAATCTTGGGAAAATCGCAAAAATGATCTAATGGTACATGATTTTAGACTTAGCAGAAAAAACTGACACAAAAAGTTGAAAGTTTTCTACCGCAGGTTAAACACTCACTTTAAACAACAACCTGTGGAGCATCAGAGTCAACCCACATGCACATGTTTCTTTATTATGATTTTCTTTTGTCATTTTTGACCATCATTGTGGCAAAATCATATTTTTTCCAATACCCAATTTACTTTGTTTTATGTTAATAAAGTTCCAAATCTTAAAACAAATTTTTTGCTTAAATAGACTTGAGTTGTAAAAATGTGTAGCATGGCTGTTTCTGTCTCAGAACAGTTTATACTGAAATTGTAATTATTTTAATTCGGTTTTGGTTAAAAACAAATTTTCCGAGGGCGTTGACAAAATGCATATTCAGTATTGTACTGGACTGCATCATATCATATTGTTGGATAATGTAATTATCATTTCATCAACTCATTAATTAAATAAGCCACACAAAGAATGTGAGATCTTTTCAACCCAGGTTTACTTCTTGCAAGGGGTGCAGCATTGAAAACAGGCTTACAACGATGTTAAACGATGCTCCAATCCAAGGTCTGACCACAGACAAAGAGTTAGGAAAAGCTTAAATAGCCGTTATCAGACAGAGACGAGGTCAAGACGACCTCTGCTTCACAGCTCACAGTCCTTGAAGGCGTCAGAAGTTATCAGTTATCAGGCTCCTCTCTGAGTAGACAAAAATACTCTTTTGACTTCAGTGAAAACATCCGTGACCTTTACATGAAGTCCCCCAACACATACATCATATTTTACATTGCACTGCATCATATTGTTTTGTTTTGTTCCCTTTCTGTCAGTAGCAAAGTGTTTTATTTAATGTTAACAATCGATGCTGAACACTTCAATACTGTCTCAGCATTCAGTGAGGCTAACTTTGACTGATGAACTTTACGTGCATTACTTATCCATGTAGCAAAATGCTAAACACTGAATAATCTTGTTAACCCTAGGATGAGGTGCTGGTGGACTGGAAGCCCACAGACAGAAGGAAAGTGTCCTCTGGAACGCTAACACCTAAGTTTCCTGTTCGGAAGGAAAACTGTGACCTTGCTGGATCTAAGAGTCCGCAGACAGCCCGTAAAGCAGATGAGGTTTTAGGTCAAAACCAAAACTTGGCCCCAGCTACAGGGGTGGCCAAGCCCGTCCCCAGACCACCTACTCAGCAGGCCCCCTGCACAGCAGAGATCAAGACCATCGGGGCCTTTCCTCCACTGATGAGAGCTGTTTCATGGGATGCTGTTGGCAGCCTTAATTCAAGAACTGGAGCCCCAAGTTTCCCACCTCCAGCGGAGGAAACGTTTTCAGATAAACCAAGAGAAGGTGTGTTTAAAACCTCAGGGTACAAGGACTTCCCCACCCCGCCAGGAAGTAAACTGTCTAAACTCAGAGAGGTAAAACTTTCATTCTGCCAGCTACACTTGAACTTCCTTCTGCAGCTTCTTTTATCTGCTGCAACGTAAAAACACAATTGTCCTTTTGATTCTGTGTGCAGGAGCACAAGTTGATACGGAACCAGAGTATAGTCGGATCCAAGTTGCCGGACTTGAGTGAAGCTGCAGAACAAGATAAAAGTAAGAGTCTTTATTCGCACAGTTATTATGTAAAACAGGAAGTGCACTGCGGGGAATATTCAGACAAATCACCGAGGGTGTACACTTCCTGGGGAACATTGTGGCTGCCCCAAAATGATGGAGATCCGTTTATTGTGTGAATGTTTATGAAGCATAACTTCATAAGACTAACCTGAATAAACTAGAGATTTGCATTTCCTGCAAAAATGTAGTGTGAATGCTTGTTGCTAAAGAACTTGAAGAAAAGCAGCTGAAATTAGCTAAAAACATGCTGAAATGTAGCTGAAATGGAAGAACAAGCCTAAATTAGCAGATTACTGCAGAAATAACACATATTTGCTGAATTAGGTTTAAATAAGCCGAAATGAGAACAATTAGGAAATCAGCTTAAAAAAAGCTAAAATTAACCAAAAAAGCTGAAAAGTAGCTGAAAAGGCAAAAAGAAGTTTGAACTACCAGAAAGAACTAAAATGAGCTAAAAGAAAATGTGTAATTAGCTGAAAAAACTAAAATTAGCATAAAACAGCTAAATAGTAGCTGAATCAATCAACCTTTATTTAGACAGGTAAATTCCATTGAGCCTCGAGGACTCATTTACAAGAGAGACCTGATTTCAACAAAGAAAGAAATAGTATCTGAAAGAGTAGAAAAAGCTGAAACTAGCAGAAAAAAGCCATAACGAGCATGAGTGAGAGAGTGAATGGTTGTTTGTCTCGTTTGTCTCTATGTGTCCCTGTGATGGACTTGCGACCCGTCCAGGGTGTACCCCGCCCCTCGCACAGGGATTGCTGGACATGGGCACCAGCGACCCCCGTGACCCAAAATGGAATAAGCGGGTAAAGAAAATGGATGGATGGATGGATGGATGAAAACAGCTGAAATTAGCTAAGAATTGCTAAAAATCTTGCTGAAAAGTTAGAACAAGCTTAAATTAGCAGAAGAAAGCAGAAAGAACATGTTTGTTCAGTTAGGCTGAAAGAAGCAGAAATTGGCACAAAAAAGTGGAAAAAATCTGAAAAAAGCTGAAATTAGCCAAAAAAATTAAAAAAAGAACAGCTGAAAAGTAGCTAAAAAGCAGAAAGAAGCTTAAATTACCAGAAGGAACTGGAGAGAGCACATTTTTGCTGAAGCTGAAAAAAGTTGAAATGAGTCCAAAAATGATGAATGATAGATCTGTTTGTATTTGTTGTTCTTTTGTGTATCTGCACTGTGTGTTGTTTTGGTTTTGCACTTGAACTTTCACACAGTGTCCCGTCTGGACAGTGTGAGATTTGATTTTTTTTTACACCTACGCTCCCCCTCGGGTTTCTTTTTCCTTATCTGACAAAAGGGCTGCGCCTCTCGAGGCCGACAGTCTCTGTCACCTCCGTCTCCCCATGTCTGTTTGTTTATTTCTCTCGGACGGGCTGTAGTGAAATGTAAATTTGTTGTGCTTCGTGCAGTGACAGCAAAGCTGCTTCTGATTCTGATGTTCTATGTTGCACCGTGATCCTGGGGGATGCTGATTCATTTCAATGTACTTGTACGTAGCTGAAATTACAATAAAACCTCTCTGACTCTAAAAAAATGTGGAATTAGCAACAAAAAAAAAGCTAAAATTAACATAACAACAGCTAAATAGTAGCTGAAATAGCAGAAAATGCTGACACTTGCATAAATTAGCTGAAAGGAGCATAACATACTGAAATTAGCAGAAATAAGTTAGACGCACAAAAATGTTGTGGTTTGCAGAAAGAACCTAAATAAGCACAAAACAGCTGAAAGTAGTTGAAAAAAGTTGTAGATTTGCAGAAGGAAGCTGAAAGAAACTGAACCAGAACAAAATGTGAAAGCAGCAGTAAACGGTTGTAAACAGGTCTAAAGATTTGAAGGATGTAAAATGAGCTCATTTCATTTTCTGTGAGAAAAGGCTAAATATTTCAAAAAGTTGCACCAATACCAAAAGTCACAGCAGGATTGTCCTGAAAGAGCTGAACGTTTTGATTCATGATTTGCTGAAATAACACAAACATTGTGGAACGAGAAAGATGCTGAAAAATGTACAGAAGAAACATGGATCATAATGCTATGACTTTTGTTTGTCAGATCATTTCCACTTTCTCTACGCGTTTCTGCTTCTTTCAGCAAACGTGCTCTTTAAGTTTTATTTCTGCTGATTTAAGCTTGTTCTACCTTTTCAGCTACTTTTTTGGGACTTTTTAAGCTAATTTGAGCTGTTTTCAGATAAATTCAAGTTGTTTGTGGTAATTTCTGCTACTTTCAGCCTAACTAACTTATTTTTGCTAATTTCAGCTTGTTGTGCTCCTTTCAGCTTTTTTCTGTTCGTCTCAGCTTTTATTTTATTTTTTTTTTTTTTGCTATTTCAGCTACTTTTTCACTGTTTAGTGTTAAATTTGAGCTTTTTCAGCTAATTCCACTTTTTTTTTTTTTAGCTAATTTCAGATCCTTCCACTTTCTTCTGGTAGTTTAAGCTTTCTTATAACTTTTCAGCTACTTTTCAGCAATTTGTTTTCTAATTTCAGCTCTTTTTTTTGTAGCTAATTTCCTGATTTTTGTGCTCATTTCTGCGTTTTTCAATTTAATTCAGCAAATATGTGTTCAGATTTCTTTTGCATAGGCTTATTATTCCTTTTCAGCTACATTTCAACATGTTTTTTTAACTAATTTCAGCTGTTTTTCGGCAAGTTCCTCAGCATTACGCATTCGCACTGCATTTTCGCAGGAAATGCACTTTCTCTAGTTTTATTTTATTTTTCTACGATGCTCCCATTTACTGGAAAACTTTGAAAAAGGTGTTTTTGTGTTTTTCATCAGCAGATGGCATGATTGTCGAATGATTTTAGCTAAAGACTGACTGGTTGTATGAACAAGTAACTGTTTATAGCTCGGACGACAGACTTTGGCTTTTGTTACTGACGTCTGATCAAACTGAGCATGAAACCTGTCGTCAGAGCTTCCAAACAAAGGATTTTTTAAAAACGTGTCTGCAGGATCTCCATCATCTTCAGCATCAACAACGGCAGAGGAGATGAAGGAAAAGTCTGACGCTTTGCCAAATATTTCTGATGTGATGCTCCGGAAACTCAAACTTCATCGGGGTTTACCGGGCTGGTGGGTGACTGAATTAATTTTTATCTTTTCTCATGGTTCTTATTTAATGGATGAAAGCAGAACATTTCATCTGAACAGATTTTCTCTTGTTTGTTCAGTGCACCTTCACTCACTGAAAAAGAAGTTGAGGTTAGTATCATTTTTCTGTTTGACTGTTTTCCACAAGTTGAACCTTTTGCAAACATTTTGACGCATCCCTAAAAATGTAAAAATATTTTGATCTTGATAAGGTCCTTATCTTTTATCATCATGAAGACAGTTTAAATCTGCCAGCTGTGACTGATTAAAGTCTTCTACCGCTGCTTCTGAAGCTCAATAATTTCATGTTATGGCTCTTTTAATTTGTTGATTTAAAGTAAACAAAACTTTTTGTTTTGACAAACAAATTTTTGTTCATATTTTCTGTTAGTAAGAAAACAGAGAACAGATTTCTAAAGGACAAAAGATACAGAAAACCGTTTGTTAACAAGTCTAATGTAAGAGTTGAGCTTTTTCTTCTGTGTTTACTAAAATCAGTCACAATACTACGACTGAACATCTCTGCTCTCACTTCAATATATTAATCGTTTTTTAAGCTATTTAGTTTATGCTATTTCAAATGTTGCATAATGATTAAAGTGTTGACCTTGCCATATTAATAAATGTCCTTTTATGTGTGTCCACAAAAAAAAAGAAAGTGTATAAAACAGTAAATAGTAGGGATGCACGATATTGGATTTTTGGTCGATACCCGATATGTTAAAACTTATTTGGCCAATAACCGATACCAATACCGATATTTTTATCTTTGACCTACATACAGAGACTACACAGCTTTCTCTGCTGTGGGATTAAAATAATAGATTATTCTGCACGGTCTTTGTCAGTTTGGCCTGTTACCGAACACAGATGCCAAAAAGGCTGAAAATGATGTAACACTTCAACTTGGATTATGTTTAATGTCAAATTTATTCAAGACTTTTACTCTCTAACACAATGTTGACACTCGAAATGTGCAAATTTGTAAATGTGCACAAATCTAAACTCGAAGGCACGCATGATGTCGTAAGGTGCTGGCGCTGCAGACATCCTTGTCACTGGGTTGTCATACAAAAATAGTGCCTTCAATATAGCGTGTTTTCCAGCGTATAAGTCGCATTTATTATGTGTCACCGCTGACCCGTCGCGTTTATTATACATTTATTTAATGGTCAAAACGTTAATTTCGCTTGGACGGCGAGGCTCCATCCATCCATTCATCCATCGCAGTCAGAGACACTAGCTCTCCAGCGTTCCACCGCTTTGAAATTTAAAGCATCAGTCAAAAATTGTGTTATGAATATGAAAAAAAACCCGTATATAAGTCGTTTCGGCATATAAGTCAATCTATGCAAAAAACTGGGACTTATACACTGAAAAATACAGTGTATATATATATATATA